GACCAGATTGTTCCTGCATTACTTGTCGACGTGGGAGCTGTTTCCAAGAACATGCTTGGCAGGGTGAGTGGGAGACGGAGAAATACAGGGAGCCCCAGAGCATAGTGGCAGGTCCTGTTCACATGCCAGGGACATGTTGGCTCAGATGGAAAGTGAAGGGAGGGAGGACTCAGGCCCACCTGTTTTATCCTCTTCCCTGTGTCGAGGAGCCCTGTGAAACTGTCCCGTCTTCTCTGATTAGGGCCTGGAGTTCTGTGTGGAGCCTACATTCTCCAGGTTTGACTGCTGAGAAGTGGTAGTGTGCTTAGATTATAGAAGTATTTTTTGGTTTTGCTTTTAATATAATTAATGTTTTTCATTGAACCGAAGCTGGATTCTGTGCAGCCTTGATTCAATCTCTTGGCTCCTGTGTGAGGAACACCTCTTTCTACTATTTATAATTTTATAAATTTCTACTATTTATAAATTTATAAAAACTATAAATTTTTATCATTGTTTATTTAAACCTCCCAGAAAAATGAGGTAAGGGAGCTGTAGATTCAGCCCTGGTTGTTCCTCTTCACTTGACTAGATCAGTACATTTGTACAGAGAGGTTCCTTGCTTTGGGCACACTCAGGAAAGACTAGAATAGAACACCATCCTCGAGAGAAAAAAATTAGGATATAGGTGAGTGTGATGACTAGGACTTCTGTGAAAACTCCCAGTCCCTACTGTTGCAGCAGAGAAATCCCACAGTGTTTCAGGAACCCTGGAGGATATTACTAAGGGAGGGCAGGGAACCTACAGGAGATGAGAGTTCCAGAATTCTTCTTTTTTTTTTTTCCCAATTTATTTATTTGGGAGGGAGAGAGAGAGCACAAGCAGTGGTGGGGTGAGGTGCGGCAGAGGAAGAGCAATAATCCCAAGCAGACTCCACAGTGAGTGTAGAGCCCTACCCAGGGCTCAGTCTCATGACGCTGAGATCAGGACCTGAGCCTAAACCAAGAGATAGACACTCAGCCAGCTCTGCCACCCAGACACCCTTATCCCACAGGTCCTGAGCTTCAGTTCGCCTCAGCGTCAGGGTCTCTGGACCAAGCCTGTGTGAGCCTGTGAAAGCCTGTGATCACACACGAAACCAAGCTTAAATGCACTACTGCAAATTACAGTGTATGGGTACTGTGTGTGGCTTGGTATTTGAATAAAGTGGGTGTTTTCAGGTTTACATTTAGATTATGATTTGCCGACTTGTTGTTTTAGACATTTATTTCACAGCACTAGTTCTGTGCCCTTTGAAGGACGTTAGGCACCTGATACCAATGTGACCCATGACAAGTTCATGTACTTCATTTCCTCTGTCCTGTATGTCAGATCCCTCCACTGTGAGATTAATACTTTTTCTCATTTATCATCACGTACCTTGGGAGCACTTACTGAAAGATGTGTATAAATCATCTCATTTAATCTGGAAACTCCTTTCTCTGTTTCACTTTGTTTGTAGTCTGCTTTGGAACTGAAGGCTCTCTCCTGTGTTTGCTGGAGATGGCGGTGTTTGAAGGGGAGACAGTCAGTCAGTCACATGGGTCCTTCAACTTTCCATTCTACTACACACTCATGTCACAGACCAACTCTTCCTTAGCATTTCTCTGTTGCTCTGTGGCAGGAAAGCATGCATCATAGATGTCCCACTGCCTTAAAATTGTAAAATACAGCTCAGCACAAAGGTATATGAGCAAAAGCTTTCAATGCAGTAAGAGACTCACAAACTCTAGGTATTTCATTTATATCGTTGTGGGTTTGTCTCTGTGGTGTGTTTGCAAGACACAAATTCCTTCATCCACAAATAGATTCATAAGTTTTATGCCACTGAAGACATTTCTTAGATTCAAGGACAGTAAGAAATTTTGGCCCTATCATTTTTATTCTTTTTAATTTAATTTGTAATTTTTTTCTGTGTTGTGTTTTATCCTCACTTACCTCTTGTAGTTAAAATGTTCTGTAGTTTAATCATTTTGCATTCCTACTGTCACTTTGAAACCAGCTGTGGATCTTCTTTTATAGTTACCTCTGTCTCGTGGTCTGTGTGTTCCTCTTAGACTTACGCAGTGTCACACAATCTGAGGTAAAACTCGCTCCACTATCACTCAAGTTTTGGCAAGATATTTATTGAAAGATGAAGAACAATCCTACTATTTTCAACATATTTATTCATGGATGAATTTATGGGGGCACCTAGGTGGCTCAGTGGGTTAAAGCCTCTGCCTTCTGCTCGGGTCATGATCCCAGGGTCCTGGGATCAAGCCCTGCATCGGGCTCTCTGCTCGACGGGGAGCCTGCTTTTTAACTTTTGTAATTTAATAGTCTGGCTCTTGAATTAAGATGTTGGTATCACTTGCAAGCTCATGAGAAATGTAGAAACCCAGAGCCCACCTAGAAATTCCAATCAGAATATGAATTTTAATAAGATCTTCAGTTCATTGTTATACACATTAACCCTGGAGAAGTAGACCTCTAGCTCACCTCTACTTTTCCTTGTTCTATCTCTGTCTTTATGTTTGTAGTACATTATTTTGGTGACAGTGGCTTTTAGTATTCTTTAAATCAGTAGGTGTGGAACCACCAATGTACTGACTGTTCAATTTCAAGATTGTTCTGGGTATGTGTCATCCTGTGACATCATATGAATGTTAAGATGGTTTTGATCTTTCTGCCAAAAATGGCATTGGGATTTTGGGAAGTGATTGTGTTCATTTAAAGGTTATGTTATTGTTTATTCTGATCTCTATCTTATTTATTTCTGGCTTTTTTCCTTTTTTAATTCCTTCCTCTACTAAATTTCAGCTATATTTCTTTCTCTAGTTCCTTGTAGTGTCATGTTAATTTTATTTATTTCAGATTTTTCTTTTCTTTTTTTTTTTTAAAGATTTTATTTATTTATTTGACAGACAGAGATCACAAGAGGCAGAGAGGCAGGCAGAGAGAGAGAGAGAGGAGGAAGCAGGCTCCCCGGTGAGCAGAGAGCCCGATGCGGAGCTCGATCCCAGGATCCTGAGATCATGACCTGAGTGGAAGGCAGAGGCTTTACCCCACTGAGCCACCCAGGCGCCCCCAGATTTTTCCTTTTTTAAAGATTCTATTTATTTACTTGAGAGAGAGTGAGAGAATGAGCAGGGAGAGCGGCAGAGGAAAAAGACTCCCCACTGAGCAGGGAGCCTGATGTGGGTCTCCATCCTAGGACACTGGGATCATGACCTGAACCAAAGGCAGAGGCCTGACTGACAGAGCTACCCAGGCACCCCTGAATTTTTTCTTCACTCAAGCATTATATCATAAAAAAATGGAAAAGTGAAAGTCTAGGAGGGAAAATTCTTAGAAATAAATAATAAAAGTGATGTCCAATAAATAAAATAGCATTAAAATACTGATTCTTCAGTGTTTTCTATACATCATGTCATCTGTGAACAGAAACGTTTCTCTTTTCCTTTTTCAGTTGAATTACTTTTACATGTTTTTCTTGCCTCGTTGCTCTGACTGTAAAATCCACTACTGTGTTGAATCAAAGTGGTGAAGTTGCTTCACTACCTGTTTCTGATCGTACAGAAGGCTTCAGTCTTTTACTATCGGATACGTTAGATTCCAGCTTTTAGTGCAGACATGGCGTTTATTAGTCTGAGTTGGTCCTTTTATTCCTACTACTGAGTGTTTTAAATCATGAAACAGTGTCCGGTATGCTCACGTTCTTCTTCTGCATGAGTATTTATTTATTTATTTATTTATTTTAAAGATTTTATTTATTTATTTGACAGACAGAGATCACAAGTAGGCAGAGAGGCAGGCAGAGAGTGAGGGGGAAGCAGGCTCCCTGCGGAGCAGAGAGCCCGATGCAGGGCTCGATCCCAGGACTCTGGGATCATGACCTGAGCTGAAGGCAGAGGCTTTAACCCACTGAGCCACCCAGGCGCCCCCTGCATGAGTATTTAAATGTGATCATGGCATGTTTGATCTTCATGCTTTTACGTCCTGTCTTAAATGTATAGATTCCTTTTTGTGTAAACACCCTGAATTCCAGGAAGAATTCCCATGTGGTTATGTTGTAAAATAGTAAAATCTGCTTTGATTCAGGTTGTTTCCTTTATTGGGGAGTTTACATGACTATTTATCTCAGTAGTAGTTTCTAGTTTTCTTTGCTTATAGTGTCTTTCTTGGGTTTGTTTATATGGTAATGCTCGTGTCACAGAAAGTGTTTTATAATTTCCTTTCTCTTCACCCTTGGAAATGTTATAGGAGATTTGAAGTACTTTCTCATTAATGTTTGTTTGAATAATCCAGAATATTCACCTATCATAAGACTTCATTGGGAGCTTTTTTTTATTACTTTTTCAGTCGACTTAGTAGTGGTAAGTCAGTAGAGAATTTTTTCCCCCTCTATGATTGACTCAAAAGGTTATACGTTTTTGGAAATTCATACTTTTTTTATATCTATTTGTGGGTATGTAATTATCCATCACTGCCTTTTTTAATTAGCTTTATTTCTGTACTGTCAGTTGTATCTGCTTTCACTTCTTCAATTTTGATTTCACTGGTTTTCTCTCTGTCATTCTTCCATGATTTACTTAAAAATATGTCAGTTTTGTAGATCTCTTCTGGAAACCAACTCTTCCTATTGTAGATATTTTTCTGTTTTTGCTACACCCTATTTTGTTGATTTCTATTTTAAGTTTAAATTTCCTCCCTTCTTCTGGGTTTGGACTCAGATAGTACTTTTCCTGATTTTTTGAGGTGTGGGAAAGTGATGTGTGCTCCAGCACGACAAGACTACAGAACTCTCTGTTAGGCCACGTGATCAGTACGTGGTCTGCAAGTTTGTGTCCCTGCAGGAATCAAGTCCAGATGATTCCCTCAGCCATCTTGCTGAAGTTCTCTGATTGATTTTATTATTCCATATTACAAGTTTTCACCGTATTCGTCTGAGAGTAGTAAGTGGAGTGATTTTACTTTTTTCTTATTCAATATCTTTCAGCTGTATCTTCACATGGCACCCAGAGTTTCCTGCCAACATTGTGCATGGAAGCTTCTTTCCAAAACGTAGCGGTGCGTAGATATAAACATACTGCCCTGGAGAATCTACACTTCATGGTAGACTGTAACGATAATGGGGAGAGTGAAGAGCATCAAATATATCATGAAGGACATATCCAGACTGAGACAACTGCGCATAATATGAACATCACTGCCCAAAATGGTGAAGGGTATAAAACATTTTGGAAAACATCCCTTCTTAAGTCTGCTACTTCTGCAAAGCAGTGTCTTTCTATATATAAGGGCTCAAATCAAATGATTAAACATACATATTTGCAGAACGAAAAGTTGGAAAATCTGGAAAGTTGCCTAGTCCGTGCTGAAAATAATTATTTCAACCATTTTGAAAGTAGGATTGGATTGACCTTTGAGTCAAATATTTCTGAAAATCAGAGATTTAAAATTGAAGAACAAAGTGCTGAGTGGGATTCATTTGAGAGGTCCTTCACCGAGGAGTTAACTCTTCAAAATTACCAGGGTATTTTCAATGAAAACAATATTGCTCAATGCAGTGAATCTGAGGAAAAATTTAACCCGGGTTCAAGTGTTAGTACATGTCTGAGGACTCATTTTCCAGAGAACCATTATGAACTTGATAAATGTGTGGAAGTCTTTTATCAAAGCTCCAACCTTATTATACATAATAGTATCCCTATGGAAGAGAATCATTATGAATATAATGAATGTGAGAAAGCTCTTAACCAGTCCTCCAGTGTTGGTGATCATCAGAGTATCCATGTGGGAAAAGACTCCTACAGATGTTATAAACCTGGGAATATGTTCAGTCAGTCATCAAGACTAAATATACATAATACGATCGGAACTGAACAAAAAAGTTACATTTGTAAGGAATGTGGCAAAGCCTTTGACTGGCACTCCACCCTGTGTCAACATCAGCCAATGTATATGGGAGGAAAAGCTTACAAATATGAAGAATGTGGTAAGGTGTTTATCCACCACTCACACTTTACTCAACGTGACAGAATTCGTACTGGAGAGAAAATCTACCAATGTAAAGAATGCGGCAAGTGCTTTAACCATCACTCAAATCTTAGTCGACATTACAGAATTCATACTGGAGAGAAACCTTACCAATGTAAAGAATGTGGCATGGCCTTTAACCAGCACTCAGTGCTTACTCGACATCACAGAATTCATACTGGTGAGAAACCTTATCAATGTAAAGAATGTGGCAAGGCCTTCAACCAGCACTCAAACCTTACTCAACATCACAGAATTCATACTAGAGAGAAACCTTATCAATGTAAAGAATGTGGGCAAGTCTTTAACCATCACTCTAGCCTTACTCAACATCACAGAATTCACAGTGGAGAGAAACCTTATCAATGTAAAGAATGTGGCCAGGCCTTTAACCAGCACTCAAACCTTACCCGACATCACAGAATTCATACTGGAGAGAAACCATTCATATGTACGGAATGTGGTCAGGCCTTTAACCGTCACTCACACCTTACTCGACATCACAGAATTCATACTGGAGAGAAACCTTACCAATGTAAAGAATGTGGCAAGGCCTTTAACCAGCACTCAAAGCTTACTGAACATCACAGAATTCATACTGGAGAGAAACCTTACATATGCAAAGAATGTGGCAAGGCCTTTAACCGGCACTCACACCTGACTCGACATCACAGAATTCATTTTGGACAGAAACCTTACATATGTAAGGAATGTGGCCACGCTTTTATCCAGCACTCACACCTGAGTCAACATCACAGAATTCATACTTGAGGGAAACCTTACCAAAGTAAAGAATGTGGGAAGGCCTTTAATCACTGTTCATCCTTTACTCATTATCACAGAATTCATAGTGGAACAAACCTTACAATTTTAAGGAATGTGAGAAAACTTTAAAGACGACTCACCCCTTACTCCACATCAGAGAATTCATAGTGGAGAGGAACCATAAAATTGTAGAGAATGTGGAAAGGCTTTTAAGCGATGCTATTCCTGATCAGAGAAAGTGTATTGGGGAAGATTTTGGAATATGAAGAGTTTTGCAAGCCCTTTATTCAGAGGTCACGTTTCATTCAACATCACAGAATTCATACTGGGGAAGAACTTTTAAATGTAAAGAACATGGGAAGGCTTTTAGAACTGCTCAACCCTTTGCAGCATCTCAGAGTTTATACTGAGGAAAAACATTACAAAGGTAAAGGGTATCATTAGCCTCTAGCTGGAACTCATAATTTACTCAACATCATAGCTATCATACAGCATAGATAAGTGTAAGATGTAGAGAAAGTTGCAGTGCCTTTAACTGGAATTCAGTCTATACGCAGTATCCCAAAATACACACTGGATTCAAACCCTAAAAACATCATGATTGAGGAAAGACCTTCATTTTAAATTTTCACTGTAGCAAACACCAGAGAGTGCATACAGGTAAGTTACTTGAAAGATGTAAATATTTAGAAATGTATGTAAGTAAACATCAAGTGTCAATAAATATCATAGAAATCAAGTAGAAAGCAGTACATGAGTCAATCTATTCAGATGTTACATCAAAATACTTATTATAAGGACTAATACAAAGTTAAACACTTAGAAAATGGGTATGCTATTACGCTTCAAAAGAACAAGTGGATGGATTTTTGCATAGATATAATGAATTTTTCAATATGTCCTTGTTTTTTATTTTGTTGTTGTTGTTTTGTTTTTTTTTTTTTTTTTTTGGTTTTTTGGTTTTGGGGGTTTTTTGAGTTTGTTTTTGGGGATTTTTGTTTTGGTTTGGGTTTGGGTTTTTTTTGTTGTTGTTGTTCATTGACCTTATCTGGGATTTGTGACTAGCAAATATTAACATATTTGTGCTCTCAAATCACTTCAGAAAACTCATTTATTCCTAGTGGGTTTGTGAAAGTATGTGGCTGATTGTTGTTGGATCAAAGATATGAGATGTCCTTCTTCATTAGGCGGGACTCCTGCATATCTAATTGCCCACAGATGAGGAAGGACAATATAATATATAAAACATGAAGAAAATCTAAATGGAGATGCTGTTTGTGGTTATAACATTAATGTTAGTTATGATGGAAAAAGTGTTCAGAACATCATTATTCTCCATTTATTAAAACTAAAGAATTTCCTGGATATTATAAATAAAATATTTTACTCTGGTCTTTGAGAAAAAAGAGGTGCCAGTCCAGTAAAATACGGTTGTATCCTCATAATAGCTGTAGTTAGAAGTAGAGGATGTCAGGTGATGTGCTTAAAATGAAGAAATCCTCAAAGATACAAAAGGAGGATAACTCTTTCTTAAAATGGCATAGGATTATGCATACAAAATTTTTAAGAATGATCCCATGCCTGAAAACAATGGAAATCAGTACTCCCACATCATGATATCAGCACACAAATGCTTTTTAATGCTTGATTCTGTATTTCCAAAAAGGATTATAGAGTGGCTTTGAAATGTATACCTTAGTCTGTGTGTAAACGTAATATATTTTAATTAATAAAACATGATGAATTTTAACGTGTTATCATGGATGAGTAATGAGTGAAGTGTCCTCCCACCATCAGTGTTAACCTATCTCATTTTATATAAGGTTGCAGGCAACTGATGAACTCTGTCATTTATTCGGTAATCATGTGGAATAACATACTTAGTAATCCATTTTCTCAGCAGCCTTAACGTTTAAATAATGTCTGATTATTTCCCCCCTTGTTTATCTGTTGTATCATTTTCTCCTCTTTGGGACTAGTGGGATATTATAACAGACATGTTGCGGATTATATTTGGGTCTTATTGACTGATTGACTCAAGTACGCCATGATGCTGCTACTTGGCGTCCGTTTCGTGTCCCCATCAGTTTTGCAGGGGACTTGAATTGATAGCAGCCTCTCTCACTAGTGCATTCCCTAAACAGTACCCTGCAGAGTCACCAGTTAATGTAACCTCTAACATGACATTCCCAGTCCACCCTTGTGAGCATCCATGACCCCTGTCTACCATGACTTTCCCCTCGTGTGTTCTTGAAGAAGACTCTCACAGAGCTTCACCCTAAACCTGCTTTAGTTTCAATGGCCCAAACTGGACATAGCTCTAGGACTCACTAAAGCACTGTATCCATGGCCCCTAATAAAGGTATGTGCCACAGTTCATAGGTGGGGGTGTTGTGTCCATGTTTCTATGAAGTAAAGATACACTTATAGCAGTGCTTGGTGTGTAATAGGTACCCTATAAGTAGGAGAAACATATTTCCAATAGGAGTGATACTGTAGCCCCAAGGAAGGGATAGAAAATGCAGAGGATGAAGAATTGGCATGAATTCTGCATGTGGAGGAGGACACCTGTCCCAGGTTGCCCAGCTGACTCCCTGGATTTAGAAGAACACCTTCTGCTCATTTATTTTCCAAGTGATCTCCAGATCGCCTCTTCTGTTTATCCTAATTTTTATTTCCAGCTACATAGGCATCACAGACATTCTTCTTTGCCTGTGTTGTGGCTGAATTGAAATGAGAAAGACATAAAGTCAATGGGTGTAAATTTAGACATTAAGCACTGGATTGTGGGGTGTGGAGCTAAGTAATACGTGATGACGGCACCAAACTTAGAAAAACAAGACCTATTAAAATGTGAAGAACTCTTTCTAATGTGGGGAGGGAACCAGAGGTGACTCCTTTAGACACTCCAAAGGCACAAGGAGCTCTTGGTGGCATCATCCAATGAATGTCATTGAATAAGTGAAATGGACATAAGGAATTGGCAAATGTGAAACCCTTTGAATCTGGGTTTCTGAGGATTAGGGAAGTTTTATCTTATCTTCATGATTTAATTCAATTCCTTTGTGTTGGCAAGGACCAGGTGCTGTTGGACGACAATGATTACTGTGATTGCTCAGGCCTAGATCAGTGGCCTCGGTGGAGTGGGGGAAGTTGGATGATGCCATCCCGTAGGGCATAGCTTAAAAATGGCACATGGCCGAGTAGATGTTGGAGATGAAGAAGCTTTCTGGACAGTGTGGTAGATGGAATCAGCAAGGCGTGTGCTGTGGTTGCACGACGCACTAGTATCCCAGGTGTATAACCCCAACATAGTTTAGATCCACTGTTGGTGGGTGACGTTTTCAGGGAAGGTGACACACTTCCGTGCGGGACCTTCCTCCCTTTACTCGTGCCATGATGAGTATGGTCCCACGCTCTGGCTGTGTCTACCATGGATTTGTCGGGGGAGCAATTCCACACTCAGTGGCAGTGAACATTCCTACTTCAAACAGTCTAGCCTAAGTGTTCTTTGATTGAGAAATGAAGAAAGAAGATATGAGATATATGTAATGAAATATTACTCAGCCATAAAAAGGAATTCAGTCTTTCTCTTTGCAATGACATGGAGGGAGCTAGAGTGTATTATGCTAAGTGAGTGAAATCAGAGAAAGACAAATACCATAGGATTTCACTCTTGTGGAATATAAGAAACAAACAAGCAAAGGGGAAAAAAGAAGACCGGCAGATCATGAGAGACTCTTAACTATAGAGAAGCAACTGATGGATACCAGTGTGGAGCTGGATTGGGGTGTGAGTTAAACAAGTGATGGGAATGAAAACGTGCATTTTTTTGTCGCGTGCTGGGTGTTGTATGGAATTGTACAATCACTATTGTACAGGTGGAACTAATATTACATTGTATGTTAACTAACTGGAATTTAAATAAAATCTTTTAAAAAATGTTTTGTTTTTTACAGATATAAGAGAACCTTTCCCTTAACTGACTTGTAGCAGTGGCCGAAAATATACCTTTGTTAAACAAACGAAAGATTTATCTTTTGTCCATTCCTGATTCCTCCAGAATTCATTAAGTCTCAGTAACTGTTCTTATATTTTTATGCCAGTGTATGTATTTGCATCATTTCAATAAGAATCTGTTCTCGTTGTGCTAAGAGACAGTCAGAAACAGTGGTTATATAGCCAAGGCTTTGACTGGGATGTTACAGCTGAGAAAGAACTGCATAGACTCCGACATGACCAGGCAGCTAGAAGGGACTAAGATTGAACTATATGGCGTCAAGAAAGTCTGCTTGGAAATACCAGCCCAATACTTTGCTTACAGAGTTCCCCACAGTCTTACCAGGTGAGCAAGGAAGATCACTTCCCAACAGCTGCGGGAAACTCAGGATATTTCAGGGACTTTATGAATACAGAAATTCACCCAAATCTGTAGTTATTGTAGACAAAGTCTGGTGGCAAGTATTTGGTTTGGCTCCTGGCCTGGAGAAGCTACTGAAATTTCAGTCTAGGGATTGCATATGAAAAGTTCCAAAAAGCTGTTTGTTTGTTTGTTTGTTTGTTTAAAGATTTATTTGTTCATTTAAGAGAAAGAGAAAGGATCAGGAGGGAGACAGAGGGAGAGGGAGGCAAGCAGACTCACCGTTGAGCAGGGAGCACCAGGCGGGACTTGGTCCCAGGACCCTGAGGTCATGACCTGAGCTGAAACCAAGACTCAGCCGCCCAACTGACCCAACCACCCAGGCACCTTAAAAGTTGTTTTTAAAAAGTACATGGGGCGCCTGGGTGGCTCAGTCATTAAGCGTCTGCTTTTGGTTCAGGTCATGATCCCAGGGCCCTGGGATTGAGGCCTGTACTGGGCTCCCTGCTCAGCGGGAAGCTGGCTTCTCCCTCTCCCACTCCCCTAGCTTCTGTTCCTCTCTCGCTGTATCTCTCTGTCAAATAGATTTTTAAACATCTTAATAAATAAATATAAAGGGTCTATAGGTCAACCTCTATTCTTCCTGCTCTTATATAAAAAGGCCAAATTTTTTTTTTTGCAGACTTGTTTTACAGTCAAATTACTGTTAATTTGAATTTAAAAATTACTGTTAATTTGGTTACCTTTGGTAAAAATGCAGGCGAGTATAGAGAGAAAAATATGTTTCAATAGCACATCTTTGTACCTACTAGATCTTAACTGATGTTGGATCAGTGACATGAAATAATCTACCAAGTCAACTTTTAATATTTGAAACTCCCAAGGAAGTTTCAGATGGGGGAACTGAAGGGGTCAGGACAGCCTCTCTGCCCTCCACCCCAGAATGTGCCATTTTGGCCTGCGGATTACTTGAGCTGAAGGTACTTGAGAACCTTCAGGCTCCAGAGAACATCCCCACTCCCACCGTTAACCTCACAGAAGAATCTAAATTGCGGCGTCTTTCTCAGAGTAAGACTTATTAACAGTGACTTAGTGACCCAACTGTAAGATAGGACAAACATCTAACTACCAAATAGTTGCTCTTCTTATCGCCCTGTGAAGGGCCTTCCTTCCTCTGAAGCTCCAGGTCCAGACCTTCTTTTCCTTAGTTCAAGATGACATTTTACTTCCTCTTACCTTTTCATGTCTATGTGGAGTCCCTGTATTTTCACGTGTTTAATTTGATCGTCTCCTGTTAACGGCTCATGTCAGTTTGATTCTTTGTCCAGCTGGAAGGGTCTTTGAGGAGGCATGAATTCTTTTTCTCTGACAGAGTATTTCATTGTAGTTCCTCATTTCCGGGCATCCTGTTTATTTTATGGACTTATTTGAGAGAGCAAGCACGAGCTGTGGGGAGGAGAAAAGGGAGGAGGAGGAAGGAGCCAGACAAAGAGCTCCATCCCAGGACCCTCAGGACCTGAGCTTAAGGCAGATGCTTAACCCACTGAGCCAACCAGGCGCCCTTCCTGGCATCTTAGTAAATTATAAAAATATGGTGGAGCACTATGAAGTACTTTTATAGGAGTTGACATTTTTTTTTTTAAAGATTTTATTTATTTATTTGTCAGAGAGAGAGAGGGAGAGAGAGCGAGCACAGGCAGACAGAATGGCAGGCAGAGGCAGAGGGAGAAGCAGGCTCCCCGATGAGCAAGGAGCCCGATGTGGGACTTGATCCCAGGACGCTGGGATCATGACCCGAGCCGAAGGCAGCTGCTTAACCAACTGAGCCACCCAGGCGTCCCAGGAGTTGACATTTTTGAGGTCAGATTTTGTCACAGTTTCAATAGGTCCCTTTTTTGTTTCCCTTATGGATACTATCTCGTCAATGTTCTGTGTAAAAGATTTTTGGTAGCAATCAAAGTTGCTATCGCACTCAATCTGTATAGTTCGCCAGTTGGCTCTTGAGAGGGATGCAGAAGTACACAAATTTGGTGTTACAAGGGGTCTTTGTTTAGGCCACTTCTGCATTAATTTGATCATTAGTATAGTTTTCTACTTAGGTACTTGCAAATATCTAATCCTCGTGTGTAAAACGTGAATCCTACCAGGTTGTTGGAAGTGCTTCTCCATCACTTTTCTCCCATTGTGATGGTTTATTTTCCATCCTAGTGGGATGAAATGCCCAGCGCTACCTGAGGGCCGTGAGCTGTGACTGAATGTGCTGATCAGAGTGATGTTGGTCCCTCCGTGTCACCTGGACATAGCGGATTGTATTTCGGTCTTGGTTTTCCCCGAGTTAGCCCGGCTAAATTCAGAGCGCTCAGCGTGCTAAGTGGCTGATTCCTCTACACTTCCCCTGATGGAGCAGTTAAACCATTCGTATTGTGAATGGAAATCCCTGTGGGATGGCTGCTGGGTGCTGAAGGTGACCTTGCTGCTCTCTACTGAGAGAAGCTAATGTTCTTTGACTTTGGATTCATTCAGAAACTCATAAGCAGAATTCAACAAACATTTAAATTGGCCACATTGTGAATAATTTTAAAATTCTAAGAGGACTTTTCATCAGTGCCACAGACTTGGAATCTGTGCTTCTCTTGACTAAAGTGTATGGCGGCCACGCAGTATTAGAAAAGAAAGTCACCTTCCTTTTAGTGTAGTCCTAACCGCACACCAGCCTATTTTGTAACGTGCAGACTGGTGGTCTGCAAGTGGGGAGCTAGATCAGACACACTGATTCCCATTGCTAGCCACAAAACAACTTCACCTGCACGGGCACACAACGAGAACCACAAAATTCTCAGATTCCATAACCTGTTTTAACCAGAAGAGGACTAGTCCTCACTAAAATGAGTTTATCACGAAACTCTGACCAAGTAAGACGTTTCTTACTGTTGATCCTCTCTCTACCAAGAGAGGGCTTCCCAGCCAGATGCTTGACTTCTCTCACTGCAAAATGAAAGCACTGTAGTCAAGAGTCTTTTAACATTTTCCTTCATAGTCTTTTTAAAGCTAAATTTTTTGATATGCACAGTCCTTTTCAACTATACTTATTTTTGGTTTTCATAACAGTTTAATTCTAAATGTTATCTCGTGCATTTAAAATAGAACAATTGGAGTGCCTGGGTGGCTTGATCAGTTGGGCGTCTGCCTTGCACAGAGGTCGTGATCCCAGGGTGCTGGGATCAAGCCCCACATAGGGCTCCCTGCTCAGCAGGGAGTCTGCTTCTCCCTCTCCCTGTGCTTCTCTCCCCAGCTTGTGCTCTCGATCTCTCTCAAATAAATAAAAATAACTTTAAGAAAAAATAAAAGTAAAAATACAGTAATTGTTTTTGACATGAATTTTTGCTTCCATATATATTTGTAGGTTGAGACCAAATGGGCCAAGTCCTGGGCACGTGTTGTTTGTGATGTATCAGAATAAATGCAAAGGGGGTCACAAATATTACAGTCCTAAAAAGCCTGCTTTATAAATGCATTACTTCTGGTGCTCTATATAATGGGATATATTAAACTAGTAATTTGTATATGTAGTATGTCTGCATTTCCTAGGAACTTTTCTTGAATCCATTTTTTTTAAAGATTTTATTTATTTATTTGACAGAGACACAGTGAGAGAGGGAACACAAGCAGGGGAAGTGGGGGGGGGGCACCTGGGTGGCTCAGTGGGTAAAGCCTCTGCCTTCGGCTCAGGTCATGATTCCAGGGTCCTGGGATCGAGTCCCGCATCGGGCTCTGCTCAGCAGGGAGAGCCTGCTTCCCCCTCTCTCTGCCTGCCTCTCTGCCTACTTGTGATCTCTCTGTCAAATAAATAAATAAAATCTTTAAAAAAAAAAAAAAAGGGCAGGGACATGGGAGGGGAAAAGTAGGCTCCTCGCTGAGCAGAGAGCCTGATGGGCTCCATCCCAGGACGCTGGGATCATGACCTGAGCCGAAGGCAGATGCTTAATGACTGAGCCACCCAGGCGCCCCTTGAATCCATTTTAAATAACAAATATTGTACAGGTTGAGCAGTTATACTCTTCAGGCCAATACAGTCCAGACTGAATAAACTTAAAAAGGAAATTTTAAACCTCCACATTCCTCTATATTCAAGCCTAAAGCACATCAATGCTAGTGTAGGGCTCAGAAGTAAAATATGTTTCTTCTGAGTATTTGGGAAAATGTGAAGTCCTCTTGAGAAACTCTAAGAAACATAATAGTCCTTGCCTGCTGACACTAAGGAGAAAGTACCTCATTCACTGTTCCATGCTGCGGTTTACTGGCCCCCACTGACTTCCAGTTTGGATCACGCACTAAGTTATCCGTGCTGATCCCTCTGAAAGTAAGCCCTGGGATCCGTATTTGTTTTGTGTTCTTACATCAACAATAATAATAAATTTGACGGTGTGAAATTAGAAGTGTCGAGGGGTTTCTTTAGTGACTGAGCAAAATGATATCTCCATTTCAATTTATTGTGATGTGTTTTCACTATGTGTGCTTTGTACATGTCCTATTTATTTCACTATAGATTAAATTCTTGTCCCTTTGTTTGTATTGTTATGTATCTAGTATTTTATTGATGTGAAAATCAAATTCTGTCATAAAAAAAATCTCTGGATTTAAACAGATTTGAAAATGTTATGTTAAACTGAGGGTTGCTGGAGGGAAGCACGATGAGAGATGGGGGTAATCATCAAGGAGGGCATGTAATGTAATGAGCACTGGATATTATACAAGACTGATGAATCATAAGCCTGTATCCCTGAAACCAGTAATACATTATATGTTAATTGAATTTGAATAAAATTATTTTAAAAAAAGAAAAACGTTATGGTACAAAAAAACATTTACAGGTAGAATTCAATTCAGCTTCCATTGCACTCCATTGCCTTATTGTTAGCATAAAGTGAATTTGAACAACTCTGTTGTCAAAAATTCGTCACATAGAATAGAAATGGTGTAGTTTT